GGCCTTTTGGTGCCTCTTAGGGGCCTCTTGGGGGCCTCTGAGAGTGCTCTAGGGGCCTCGTGGGGGCGGCTAGAGAGGCCTATGGGGGGCTCCTGGGACCATCTTGGGGTGAAAGGCCCGAACTGTCAGATCGGATTCCCCTTCTTCGGCCTCTCTTGGGGATTGGGGGCTCTTTTGGGCCGTCTTGGGAGCCCCTGGGGCCGGCTTGGGCCTCTCTAGGGGGGTTTCTCTTGGGCCGTCTTGGGGCCCTTGGGGCCGTCCTCGGGCACACTTGGGCTGGCCTCAGGCGAATTCGGAACGATTTGGGGAGCTTCTTGGGCCGTCTTGGACGCTTTCAAGAGGCCAAAGTCGAGCATTCTGAAAATGCACGTTTCCCTGAGGGAACGAAGCGATGTTCGTTTCCTGGGTCCTTCGCAGCGGTCCTCTTGGAGCACTATTTGGCAGTCTCAGGCGCGTCGTGGGCCGTCTCGAAGCCTGCTTGGATCACTGTGGAGCTATCTTGGGCCATCGCGACACTTTCTTGGACTGCCTTGGCGCTTCGTTTGGGCTCTCCTGAGCGTTCCTGAGGTGTTTTGGAGCTCTGGAGAGGCTCCGAGGGGCCGGGGAAATACATTTAGGGGCTCGTCCCCCCACTAGGGACCCTCCCCCTCAAACAGCAGTTTAGACCCCAGGGGAGGGGGAAAGGGGGAGGGGTCAGCCAATCATCTCACACGCCTTTTCACCCCGGGCAAGCGGGGGTCGGCGGGATGGCTATCCAAAAGGTTCGCTCCTGCTGGGGACACGTACTCTGATAATCGCTGGAATTTGACTGTGTGCTTGCGGGGGCTGAGATGCTTCGCCGAACTGTCCAGTGGAATTCGCTGGGAGGGGGAACAGTGGCAGGGTAGCTGCAAAACGAAACTCGACGGAGCACTTCCCCCCCTCCGAGAAGCCCTGTCAGTGTATCCTGTCACCGTGCTTGGTTCGTGGTTCAGAGGCAGGCTGGATGCCAATTGGGCTCTCGGGGCCTCCTGGAGGCGAAGTGGGGACCTCCTGGGTGTTTCTTGAGGCCTCGCTGGGGGAATTCTCATGGGGGGAGGGGGGAGCCTCTCTTGCGACTTATTTGACGGGTTCAGGGGAGCTGTTGGGAGCCTGCTGGCGGCCCCGGAGGCCGTCTGATGCCGTCTCGGGGGCCTCTTGGGCCGTCTTGGGGCACTTTTGGGCCGCCTTGGGACTCTGTTGGGGGCCTCGGGGACCGTCGTGGAGCGATCTCGGCGGCTTTCCGGCCCGTCTTGGGCAGTCAGAACTTTGGAGAAGCGAGAACACGAATTTCTTACCAAAATCATTTAGAAAACGCATGCTGTTGCGTCTGAGGGCCCTGTTGGGGGTCGTTTTGGGGGTGGACAGACCTCCACCCTGACACGTCGATTAGTGAATTGTCCGTTCTCGGTTCTCGAGAGAGCGCCGCGGCCGTCATTTTCCAGGCTTGCGCCCGCCAGGTTTGTGCCCGAGGTCGTTTTCACTAAACTACGTAGCGCCCCGCAATTGCGGATAAGAGTGAGGGGGCGGGCGCGGGCGACGCGGGCGTCGTCAAGCCGGCGGACCTCGTGGCCCCCACCTTCCTTGTCGATGGCGCTCTCCTCCTCCTCCTCCTCCTCCTCCTTCCTCGGGCCTTGGTAGCCCTTCCTCGCCTCGCCCCCGCAGCCCCTCCCTTGGCTTCGAACGACACGTCAGGCCACGCGTGTGCTTCGAGCCCGTTGCTGTTGCCTGGGATGGAGCTGCGAGTGCCCAGGCAGACGCCACTGCCAGGGTTCATTCTTTTCCAGAGCGCTCGGGGCCCACCTTCCTCCCAGACAAGCGGAGGCGGATCGGCTCCAAGCGCCCAAGTCGGCCCTTTTTGGCCGACACTACGGTGCCAGCCGAGCCCATGCCTGGAGCGGGTTCGTCCCTGCCACGGCCGCTCGCGGCCATCGTCTCTGGGCTTCCTCGGGCCATGTTTGCTTGTGTGTCTCCTGTGGTGCTTTCACGACGGGCACGGCTGGTCACCTCCTAAAAGATTGCCCGTCGGGGAACACTCACCGTCTGTCAGAACGGACGGTGCGTAACCGACGTTTATTCATGCAGGGCTTTCATCCTGCGGACGAAGGGGCAGAGGGCTCACGTCGAGTCCCCGCGCCTCGTCCGCTTCTCGTTTCCGATCCTGAGACTCACTGGGTCAGGCTCCACGGGAGCCCACCTTCGCACCCAGGTGGCGGGGCGTAGTCTCCCGCCTCTTTTGTTTGTGTGGCTGGTACCCGAGATCCTCCAGGTGGGGTCCCAGCCTCTTCGCAGGCCAGCCAGGCTGCCAGCAGCTTGGCACCCTTGGTGGGCGCTCGTGCACTGCGCGACGCTTCCCTTGGCAGTGCCGTATCCTCGTCCTCGTCCTCATCGTCATCGTTGTCCTCCTCCTCCTCCACCTCGTCCTCCTCCCACTCCTCCTCCTCCTCCTCCTCCTCTTCTTCCTCGTCCTCCCTCTCCCCCCCTCGTCCATCCATCATCGTCCTCCCATTGTCGTCATGTTCCTCCTCGTCGTCCTCCTCCTCTTCCCCCCCTCCCGATCCTCCCCCCTCCTCCTTTTCGTCGTCGTCGTCGACGTCGGCGTCGTCGTCGCCGTCCCTTTCCTCCTCCTCCTCCTCCTCCTCCTCCTCCTCCTCCTCCTCCTCCTCCTCCTCCTCCTCCTCCTCATGCAAGAGCAGCCCGGCGCAGGCGCCGAAAAAATTGGTTCGTGGTTTGGGTAGCGGGTGGGCCGCGGGTTCTCCACCGGGAACGAATGCAAAAGATGCCCGCCGCAGGCGCCGACAAAAATTAGTTTGCACCCTATGGTGGGCCGCGGTCTCTCCACCTAGAACGGATGCAAAAGATGCCCGCCGCAGGCGCCGACAAATGTGGTTTGTACCATGAACGTGGTTTGGGTCGCGGGTTGGTCACGAGTTGATCGCGGGGTGGGTCGCGGGCTCTCCACTTGGAAGGAATGCAAAAAAAACCGCCGCAGGCGCCGAAAATGTTGGTTTGTACCTTGAGCGTGGTTTGGGTCGAAGGTGGGTCGCGGGGTGGGTCGCGGGGTGGGTCGCGGGTGGGTCGCGGGTGGGTCGCGGGTGGGTCGCGGGCGGGTCGCGGGTGGGTCGCGGGGTGGGCCGCGGGCGGGTCGCGGGGTGGGTCGCGGGTGGGTCGCGGGTGGGTCGCGGGTGGGTCGCGGGGTGGGTCGTGGGTGGGTCGCGGTGCGCGGGTCGCGGGTGGGTCGCGGGTGGGTCGCGGGGTGGGTGGCGGGGTGGGTGCGGGTGGGTCGCGGGGTGGGTCGCGGGTGGTGCGGTCGCGGGTGGGTCGCGGGTGGGTCGCGGGGTGGGTCGCGGGTGGGTCGCGGGGTGGGTCGCGGGTGGGTCGCGGGGCGGGTTGCGGGTGGGACGACGACAACAAACAACAACAACAACAACAACAACAACAACAACAACAACAACAACAACAACAACAACAACAACAACAACAACAACATCAACAACAACAACATAAACAACAACAACAGCAACAACACCAACAACAACAACACCAACAACAACAGCAACAACAACAACAACACCAACAACAACAAACACCAAACATCAAACGGCAAACAACAAACAACAAACAGCACACAACAAACAACAAACAACAAACAACACACAACAACAATAACGACAACAACACACAACAAACAACAAACAACAACAATAAACGACAAACAACAAACAACAAACAACAAACAACAAACAACAACCAACAAACAACAACAACAACAACAACAACACCAACAACAACAACAACATCAACAACAACATCAACAACAACAACAACAACATCAACAACACCAACAACAACAGCAACAACACCAACAACAACAACAACAACATCAACACCAACAACAACAACAACACCAACAACAACAAACACCAACCATCAAACGGCAAACAACAAACAACAAACAGCACACAACAAACAACAAACAACAAACAACACCAACAACAACAAGCAACAAACAACAAACAACAACAATACACGACACACAACAAACAACAAACAACAAACAACAAACAACAACCAACAAACAACAAACAACAAACACAACAACAACAACAACAACAACAACAACAACAACAACACGAATCCGCACCGCGGAATCCCACTTCAGCCACGCACCCAGGGACAGTGAATGACCGTTCGGCCCCCTCATTCTGACGTGTTAGTGAGGGGGGTTTTGTCCTGGGTTTTTTTGAAGCCATCTTTGGCCGCTTTCATGCGTTGTCAGTCCATCTCGAGATATCGAGTATCGCTTAGGCTTAGGAGTTCCCTTGGGGCGCTCCTGGAGTTTCTTTCGGGAACCTGAGGCCCGTGCCCAGGAGTTCCGGTGACTCTGACCAGAACTTGCAATGACTTGCCTGGGGCATTTTTGTTCCGCGCACTGCCAGGGGCCGCCCGCGCGCGAACTATTGAGTTAAACGCTGTGTATATCTGTGATGCAAATACCTTGAACCTCGTACAGGAGATGTTATCGTGTCTCTGGCCCGTGGAGCATGCGAATTCTACGACAGGTTTCATACCCCAGCACCCTTTCTGGAACTTTTGCGCCATCGCCGATTGGCCACTCGGGATTGTTGGGATTCGAGTTTGGCAGGGCCTGGGGCTATCTTGCAAGATGTCGCGCGCCAGAGAAACAATTCAGTTCAGCGTGTGGCGGGGATGCGTCTCGGATGCGCAGGGTGGAGCCCCGACTTGGAGGATGCTTCCCTGTGCCTACTCTCGACCAGCAAGCAGGGTGCACACTACGTGGTTGGCCTGGGCAAGAGCTGGATAAACACACCAGCCCGCGCACTGCTGGGCCCGCCCGCCCTCGCATGCGCGCGGGTCCTCAGCCGCGCCTGTTGCCAGCTTCCAGGTCGGGCACCTCGCTGCCCCGGGGACCGACCCTGGCCCTGTCAACCCCGCCTCTGTCGCACCCCGGGCGCGGCCGGCGCTGGCAGCCATGCAGATCGTTGCGCCGGGGAACTTCCTCGATGGCGCGCCGCGCCTGCACGCCAGCGGGGGATTGGCACGAGCAGCATCGGCGGTGCGCAGAGGCTGGAGGTCGCCCGCGGGGGCGCGAAGATGGCCAGGCTCCGCGTGTCGCAGCCTGGGCCGGAGGGGTGCCCTTCTCCAGGGCGGTGGCGGGAGGGCGCGAGAAGGTAAGTCATCGGGCCTCGCGGGGCGCGGCCCGCGAAGTTGGGTGGCCTGGAGGAAGCGGCGTGGCGAGAGGGGCTGCCTTCCGAGGAGCCAGGGGCCGTTTGAGAAGTCAGTCGATCGCAAACGTGGACCAAGGGGGCGTGGATTCGCGACGGGTCCCGTTTCCATGGGAAATCGTGGCTCTCCGCCGCCGAACGAGGCGGCACCGGCCGCACCTTGGGGAGCGCACCTCCCCCGATCCAAGTCCATGGATCGCTGATCCATGTTTGCCCGCGCCCCCGAAGAAGCGACCCCAGCCTTCTGGGCAGCCCTGCCAGGGCCGCCGAGACCTTCTGAGAAGACTCCCGTTTGCCTTCTCAAGTAGAAGACTGCCCCCTGTCGCCCACCAGCCTTTGCGCGCCGCCAGGAGCAGGCCTCTCTTGGGCGGGTTTTCGACATATCGCGTCAGGATTGCAGCGTTTCCTGTACCCACATCCCTAGCTTGCGTTTGGGATTGCCGCCGCGATAGCGCCCGCACTCGGTCTTTTTACCCGCGCTCTGCAAGCACGTTTCTCGCCATGCGATTTCACGATCGGACCGACTACATATCGATTTCGGCTGGCCCGATCCGATCCGATTGTGATTATTCGACGATCTGATGCGTCCCGATGCTTGCATGGCGCTGTTGTGTGTCCTGGCGCGGCCGATTTGATTCCGACCCCGAGCCGATGTGATTTGATTCGATGAATGTTCTGATCCGATCCGATTCATCGAGTTGATGTTGACCGCTCCAGGGTTTCTAATCTCACTACCATTCGGTTCCCAGTCCCTGGGTTCCCCATCCGTCTCTCCGCTCCTAGCATCCTCTAGCACGGTTGCCGCGAGGTTCCAGGCCCCCAGGATTGGTTTTCGATGCTCGATTCAGCGTCCTTTCAGGTTACCAGCGCCGTATTAAAATTGCCACGCCAGAGTTTGAAGCGTCCGTTGTGTGCGTTTTGTCTTTGTAAAAATATACATGTGGCGGAGGAGGTAGCATCCCCCCTGGTATACAATGTATGCTCGGCTTACCATAAGCTGGAGTGCATTTGATCGGTCATAGATGATATGTTGTCAGCATGGCGGATGACTCTGGCACGTGGCAGAGACGGGATGACAAGGATGGGAGGAGCAGTTTCTTGCAGGCGTGTTTGAAGGGACCACTATTGAGGTGTGATTTGAGTGTTTGCATCCAAGCGTATTCTGTCGCTATTGCAACAGGTGTGGTATTCGCAGTGTTCGTGATGTTTGCCTCTGGCGCTGCCCTGATGGTCTTCGGAGAATTCCACACGACAGCACCCGCGCGTGTTTATTGACCCGCGTTTGAGTTGTCAATTGCAGCATGTGCCACGACGCATTTGGAACTTCCCACTCCAGTCAACCTTTGTCAGATGGCCGTTGCCTTACAGGCCGAGCCTCGCCGCACAGAGTGGTTTGATTTCGGCAGGTGCTCGGGGTTCCTTAGGTCTCTTCTTGGGTGTTCCCTCTGGCGCTCCTCGCACAGCTGCGCTAGGCTCAGTTGGGGCAACAAGTAGTTTCGCTCCTGATGTAAGGTTCATAGCTGCAAGACTTTGGCTTGGGTTTTGGATGAGAGGTTGGATTCGTGTAGAGTAGAGATCCACTCGAGCTCAACGACATTGAGTTTGTCGATGCCCGCCATGCTATTGGGGGTGAGGCCAGCGTTGTCTTCTCATGGTACAGGTGGGCGGTCGCAACTCAAGATCAGTATGTCCGTTTCGACAGTGCTGTATTGCCTTGAGGGCGGCTGTTTCGGGTTCCGAGTCTCATTCGGGATTTCATTTCATAGTATTAGGGTTACCGTGCGGGGAGTTGTATACGTCATAGCCCCCTTTGCGTTGGGCACTGCAAACGAAGTTTCGTGGCAGAGGCATGGATTTATCGAAGACGCCTACTGCGAATCACCGCCACACCAGATGCGGGCGGCCCTTGCAGCGCTGGTGGAGGGCCTCGGTTTCCAGTGCCCGTTCAGCTGGCACAGCTGCCGCCGTGGCGGCGCGTCGGAGTGGTTCCTGCGGACCAAGAGAACGGGGCTCACCTTGGTCCGTGGGCGTTGGGCCAGCAGCCTCACGGCCCGTATATATGTGGAGGATGCGCTGGCTAACCTCGCGCGGGTCCAGCGCGGCGATGCGCAGGCGACGCTCGTCCGACAGTGGCTTGGATCGCTGCGCATCTTCTCCGAACTGCCCTAGGGCAGTATCTGTTCTTACATGTGTGTAAACGTTCACTTTTTTCGGCACCTCCTTCTCACCCGCCCCGCCTCGAGGTCCTATACCTGAAGGCCCCATGGGCAAGCCAGCGTTGGCCGGCGGGGTGCCTCGGCGTCCCTGTGGGGGTCCTGGGCCGTCGCGGGACGATGTGGCGGCCCTCCCGCTCTCGGCTTGGCGTTTCTGCTTCGGGGTCGGCACAGGGGCGCCGTGGTCGCAAGTGTTGGCGGTGTCCTGGACGGGGTGCAGGTTGTAGGCAAAGAGGGGGCATCCTTTTTTCCCACGGGTCTAGCCTCAGAGGTCCTCTTCCTGTCTCGCCCATGGGCAAGCCAACGGTGGCCTGTGCGGTGCCACGTCGTTCCCGGGGGTCCTGGCCCGTCCTGGGCCGTTTCGGCGGCCCCCCGCTTTCGGCGAGACAGCTGTTGCGCGTGCGTGCCAGGGACTTCGTGGCCACAGGTGTTGGTGGTGTCGTGAAATGGTTCAGGTTGCAGGCAAGAGGTTGAGACCTACTTCTTACCCGCTCCACCTCTCGGAGCCCTCTCGCAGGCGAAAGGCGGCGGTCCTCTCCCGACCCACCCTCGACAGCCCTCGCCCCGATCGCCCCGAGAGAGGGTGCGGGTTCAGGGTGAGGCGGCACGGTCAGCGGCAGAGGGTTTTCATAACTCAGTAGATCCGGCCTCACTGCCAGTAGGGTGGGGTGTGGAACTACGGAGGAGGTGCTTAAGAGCGGCCCGTTGGGCCAACGTGTGGGGGAATGGGGCTGCACTCGGCGTCCCCCCCAGCGTTTCGGGAGAGGGCGGCTTGCGGTCAGGGGCCACTCTTGGGGGCCCGCCGATGCGGTCGGTGGGGGCCCCCCCGATTCGGGCCGGATGCTCTCGGACGAAGCGCTGCGTTCCTTGGGGCCGCGGTGCTTGTCCTCGGAAACGATGCTGGGGGCTTTGAGGGGCGTCGGAGCGTGGTGACCATTGGCGAATGATACATATATATATATATGTATATATACATACATACATACATATCTATATATATATATATATATATATAGATATGCATATCTCTATATACATACAATGCTTATATATATACATGTATACATATATATACATGTATGTATACATACATATACACATACATACATAAACAAAATCGGATATCTACGCCATGGTAAGGGATAGGAGGGATGGGTAGGGCGTCAGATGTGACGCTAGCGCACCTGAATTGTTTCCCCCCTCATCCCTTCCTCGCTCCTCCTTACGCTTCGCCACGGAACTCGCTTGCGATTGTAGACTTGTGTGTGGCATTGCTGCGCAGGCTCGCTCCATATCGTATCCACCGTGCTTGGGTCGCAGACGGGAGGTCTCCTCGAATGCCTCCGGATGAGCCTCCTGGAGGCCCCCTTGGGGCTTTTTGCGGCCTTGGCGTACTGGGGGTCTCCTTTGGATTTCTTGGGGGCCTTTAAGGGCTGGCTGTCTCGGAGGCTCTCTTGGGCTGGGCTGGTCCGGGTGGCAGTTCGAGGTCCACCTCTTGAGGGCCTCTTGGTGGACCCTTTGGGCCTCCCTTGGGGGACCTGAGGAGATCTCACTGCGGTGTCTTAGGCCGCCTGGGATGTTCTTAAAGGCGATAAAGGCGAGCATTCGGCAACTATACAAAAGCCAAGGGAGTTCAATGTTCTGGAATTCCTATCCAGGCCCAGGGCTTCCAAGACTGTCCGAGAGGCTCCGACGAGAGCCAGGACGGTCCGCTGGGGCCATCTTAGGAATCAAAGGACGCATAGTTTCCGAACCATGTTGTGAAGGTTTCGGGCACGCGGGAATCTCTTAGAAGCGCCGGAGAATTCCGAGAGTCTTGGGTCTGGGGTTTTGAACTTGCAATCTTTAATGCAGAAAGTTCGAGCGGACTCAAGGGCACTCCACTCAGTGCCTATGGTGTGGTGGCGGATGACACGAGCGTGTCCGGCATGGACCGTTTGTTTTTGTTGTTCCCCATATCCTAAGGGTGGGGTTCTTGTTTTTCCCATATCCCAAGGATGGGGTTCTTGTTATCATTTAGACCGCGCGGGACGCGAAAGAGAACACACACGCACACCTCCCACCCTCAACACTCCCACCCTCAGGTCATCATTCTCTGATTCACTCACATGCAGAATCATTCATATTCAGACTCACTCATACTCAGATACACTCGCTCTTAGATTCCTAATTGTCAGGTTTCACGTTTCCGGGATCACTCATACGCAGACTCACTAACACTCTTGGTGCTTCCGCGCTCAAACTCACACCCACGTTGTGAGGATGTCTCAGGCGAGACGCCGGTTTCAGTATTCCCAACGGAGGGCTCCGCATTGTCGCGTTAAAATGGCGGAGACGTCTCGAGCGGTTTGCATGTTTGGGTGCCCGGCATCCTCCGCTTTCGGAGCAGATTTGGAGGATGTCTCGAGCGAGGCGCGTTCATTTTCGCCCCCACGGGGCAGCCGCCAGGTGTTATTGCACTCCTCCGTTCGCGCCAAATGGCGGGGATGTCTCGAGGGGCTTGCCTGTTTCGGTGCCCAGAATCCTCCGCTTTCGGAGCACATTTGGAGGATGTCCCTAGCGAGACGCTCATTTTCGCCTCCAAGGGGGAGCCGCCAGGGGGTATTGCATTCCTCCATTCGCGCCATGGGGATGTCTCGAGCGGTTTCGGTGCCCGACATCTTGCGTTTTTGGAGCAGTTTCCGATGATGTCTCAGGCGAGGCGCTGGTGTCAGTACTTCAAAGGGGGGGCGCCAGAGGGTATATCACAGGCCCGTTCGCGCTGAGATTGGGGGATGTCTCGAGCGGTTTGCCTGCTTCGGTGCCCAACATCCTTCTCTTTCAGAGCAGTTTCCGAGGATGTCTCAGGCGAGGCGCTGGTTTCAGTACTCCCAAGGGGGAGCCGCTAGGGGGTACATCACAGGCCGGATCGCGCCGAGATTTCGGGGATGTTTATGGCGGTTTTCCTGGGGTTTGAAGCCTGACCCCTCCCTCCCCTGGATGGGGGGGGAGGGGGTTAGAACGCCCCCCCCCCCCCCCCTGACGGAGTGAGGGGCGGGGAGGTTCGAACCCCCCCCCTTTCCTTCCTCCCCTGCTTTCCCTCCTCTTCTCGGGCCGGCGCTTGCGTTGGCGGTGGCTGACGGCGGCGGCGGGGACGACGATTTTTTTTTCTGGGCCGGCGCCTGCGCCTGCGGCGGCGGGCGGCGGCGGCGGGGAGCGTCGACGAGGACGACAGTGGTGGTGGTGGTGGCGGGGGTGGTGGTTGTGGTGCTGGTGGTGTGGTGGTTTGTTGTGGTGGTGCTGGTGGTTGTCGTGGTGGGTGGTGGTGGTGGTGGTGGTGGTGGTGGTGGTGGTGGTGGTGGTGGTGGTGGTGGTGGTGGTGGTGGTGGTGGTGGTGGGGGTGGTGTGGTGTTGGTTTGTCGTGGTGGTGGTGGTGGTGGGTTGTGGTGGTGGTGGTTTGGTGGCGGTGTGGTGGTGGTTTGTGGTGGTGGTGGTGGGTTGTGGTGGTGGCGGTGGTTTGTGGAGGTGGTGGAGGTGGTGGTGGAGGTGGTGCTGGTGGTGGTGGTGGTGGTGGTGGTGTGGTTTTTTGTGGTTGTGGCGGTGGGTTGTGCTGCTAGTCGTGGTGGTGGTGCTGGCGGTGGTGGTGGTGGTGGTGTGGTAGATTGAGGCGGTGGTGGTAGTGGTGGTGGGTTTTTGTGGTGGTGGTGGTGATGGTGAGTTGTGGTGGTGATGGGCGTGGTGGTGTGGTGGTGGTGGTGGTGGTGGTGTGTGGTGGTGGTGATGGTGGTGGGTTGTGTTCATGGCAGTGGTTTGTGGACGCGGTGCTGGTGGTAGTGGTGGTGGCGGTGGTGGTGGTGGTGGTGGTGGTGGTGGTGTGGTGGTTTGTGGTGGAGGCGGTGGGCTGTGCTGCTAGTAGTGGTGGTGGTTGTGGTGGTGTGGTAGAATGTCGTGGTGGTGGTAGTGGTGGTGGGTTTTTGTGGTGGTACTGGTGGTGATGGTGAGTTGTGGTGGTGGTGGTGGTGGCTGTAGTGGTGGTTTGTGGTGGTGGTGGTGGTGGTGGTGGTGGTGGTGGGTTGTGTGGTGGGTTGGTGGTGGTGGTGGTGGGTTAAGGCGATGGTGGTGGTGGTACTGGTGGCGGTGGTGGTAGTGGTGGTAATCGTCGCTGCGTCTCCGCCGTCGCCGGCGCCAGCGCCGGCGCTGCTGGCCGCCGCCAGCGCCGGCGCCGGCGCCACGGGGGGGGGGGGGTTGAACCCCCCCCCCCCTCGGCGCCTGGGGGGGGAGGGGGTTGGAACCCCCCCACGTTCCCCTTGGGCTGCCTCTGGTCATCGTCGCTGCGTCCCCGCCGTCGTCGCTGCTGGCGGTCGCCAGCGCCGGCACCGGCGCCTGGGGAAGGGGGGGGGGGCTTTGGACCCCTCCCCCCTTTGGGTGAGGGGAGGGGGGGAGGGGTTCGGGAGGGGGGGGGGTGGGAGGGAGGAGAGTCCCCCAGGTTTTGATCGAAGGCGCCGAGTGTTGGGGGGGGAGCCCACCCCCCGGTTCGAAACGCGCCGCCGAACGTCATCAAGGCAAGCACCCGTGAAATGCGCTTTCTCGGTGCTCAGCACCCTTCTCTTTCGGAACAATTTCCGAAGATGTCTCAGGCGAGAAGCTGGTTTCAACACTCCTATGGGGGGGCGCCATGGGGTGTTGCACGGGTCCGTTCTCGTCTTCACGGATGGATTTTCTTGACAGGCGTTCATAAGGAAAGGAGGAGAAAGAGGAGGAGAAAGACAAGGAGGAGGAGGAGGCGGAGGAGGACGAACGAAGAAACAACTATTTAGAGTCGTCGTAGTCGTCGGCGTCTCTGTCGGCCTCGTGTTCCACGTGGATTCGGGGACATTCGGATGTTGAAAAAGACAACGTCTTCTACCCAAATTTGCCTTCACTATGAGATGCACATATGGGGGTTCCGCGTCGAGTAATTCTTTACGCTTCGCGTATCCCCACCAGCCCATCTCAAAACAGCAACTCTTGCGAAGCATGCCGACAGTCGTGTTTTTCAGGCGTGTTTCCGCCTGCCCCCGCATATCTCCCCTGTTCCTCCTTTCCCCCGCCTCCTTGTACATCCTCCTTGTGGTGGGAGCGGGAGAAAGACGAGGCGGAGGAGGAGGGAGAGAAAGCGCTCCTCGTGGTGTGAGTCGTTTGGGGTTTCTTGTCCTGGTGTGAGTCGTTCGGGCCCTTCTTCCTGGTGTGAATCGTTCGGGCTCTTCGTGATGTGAGTCGTTCGGGCTCTTCGTCCTGGTGTGAGTCGTTCGGGCTTCTCGTGGTGTGAGTTGTTCGGGCCCCTCGTCGTCGTGTGAGTCGTTCGGGCCCCTCCTCCTGGTGTGACTCGTTCGGGCTCCTCGTGGTGTGAGTCGTTCGGGGCCCTCGTCGTGGTGTGAGTCGTTTTGG